AGGGGAATCACTTGGATTTCAAGTCTCTCTCCTGTTGCTGTACAGGCAGCCTCTCCCTTATGGGCGAATGGTATCCTGTAGAGTGACTCTTTCTGTGAGTAGGGGAACTTACCATGGCCAACTCTTAAAGAGATTTTACCTGTCAAAGAGCTGCTTTTCAAATGGGAACTATATACTGAACTATTTATCATTTTAAACAGTTGATTTTAAGTCTAATGTTGTCAGTAGATGAATGCAATGTTGGTTTTTATTTTTTAAGATTTTTGTTTATTTGTCGGAGAGAGAGAGAGAGAGCACAAGCAGAGGGGGTGGCAGGCAGAGAGAGAAGCAGACTTTGCACCAAACAGGGAGCCCGATGTGGGACTCGATCCCAGGACCCTGGGATCATGACCGGAGCCAAAGGCAGATGCTTAACCAACTGAGCCACCCAGGCATCCCAGATGAATGCAATGTAAATCAAGACTCAAACCTGTGGGCTTTCCAAGAAAGAAATGTTAAACAAATACAAATACATTGGAGTTATTTGTTTTAAGTTTTCATTTTCTTAAAAGAATATTGAATGTTAAAATTAGTTTGGGGTGATGAAAATTTATGATAATACAAAAAATAATTCATTCAGGATGTCAAGTGATACCTACTGATAGGATATTTGAGAAACCCACAGAAAATTTAAACCTCCAACAAGCACATATTTCTCATTTGAAAATAAAATTAAAAATTGAAGACATATTTGGGAGGAAATAATCCTGGAAGCTACAAAATGTTATTAAATAAGTTATATCAAGGCCATTCTAGCACTAATCAATGGATTTACAGTCTTCTAAAACCACTGGAATTCAAAAGCAAAACAAAACAAAAAAAATCACCTTCTGGTGTCTAGGATATGATCTGGCAGTCTGAACTGAATTCGGGTTGAGGCAAAGTTTTGGCCAGCTTGAAATGTCAATCAATACGTTATGCACCTTGACACTGTTTTTCACAGGGGGTTAGGAAATCCTGCCGAGCCAGGTGTAGGTTAGTTGCTTCTAATCAAATTCAACAGCATACTTTACTGCCATCTTTTCCTTCTCTCTTTCTCCTTCCTATTCGATGCCCAAAGTTTAGCTTCTCTCTCAATGTAGACTTTATGCTTCACTCATGTCATAGTTATTTTCACAGCGAGGTCCCAATCCATTGCCTCAGATGTCTTGAAATGTATACTTACCAGAATGTTTATGGATTCCACATGATCGTAGTACTGTCCAAGTATTTCTAGTTGTCTTTATGTGTAAGATTTAATAAATAGATTTTTAGAGCCTTCAGTTCTATTAAAAAGTAACAGTCAAATTTAATTTAGTAATTCTAAATACAGGAGGATTAAGAAGGACAACTCTGACCAGGGGTGAAAAAAACACAGTGATGTGGACAGCAGGATGAATGCTTCCCATCCACTTATTCATTAGCTTTCCTGACTGAATCTCTAACAGGAGACTCACCTTCAGAAGTGAGAAAGTAATTTGGTCTTCACTGTCTTCTGCCCTCGCTTTTTATCTCAGACTAGGTTACTCTTAACCACATTGATTAATCCAACTGTGATGGCTTCGAGTAGATTGAAGGTGTACAGATTTAATGAGACGCTGCCTGAGTGATGGGCAACAGGCTAAAATCAAGGTCATTTCCTGCCATAATGGTTGCCTCCTATCAACAGAGTGAACCTGTGACATACCAATGAATGGCACATGGTGAAAATGAAAATAGGCGCAAATCTTGCACTCCCACGGCAGTTTTTATTAGTGTGATTTTAATTCACTCCTGAATTCAACAACAAATATTATACTTACTAATCCATAACTTAATTTCATCTTGAAATGTTTTCTTTGGGGTGCCTTCGATATGGACTTTTACTTAGGTTTAATTCTATAAACAAGTTGATCCTGGGTGAGTTGAGAAAGAATCTTCTAACAATTAGGGAAAACCCACGCACATTACTTAATATTTAGAAATGTCATTCACTAATGTCACAAGCATGATAACAATGATGATGTCCTTGCTAATTCTTTTGAGGAGTAATATATTTAATGCCTATTACTCTGCCAAATTTATACTGGATGTGAATGTTCACTAGTAGTGGTTCGAAACCCTATTATGTGAAGGACGATTGACTGAATTAAAGAAGGGGAAACTACTTGAGGAAAAGTCAAAGTCCCCCCCAGGTGGTCTGTTAGTTCTTGGACCTCCTTTCTTACTATTCTTGCCCTTGCTTACTCTGCTCCGGTCACACAGTCCTCTTTGCTGTTCATTGAACAAACCAGGAAGGGTACCACTACATTTCCCCCCCTTTTTTTTTCCCTGAAATACCCTACCCCCAAATACACTGTCTTCTCTCTTGAGGTCTTTGCCCAAATGTGCCTGCTCCATGATGCCCTCCCTTACCTACTATTTGTCACCATCTAAATATAGTTATTTATTAGGTTCTTTGACACTGTCCCTCTATCTCTGCTAGAATGTAAGCCTCACAAGGGTAAGTTCACTAATATATCCCAGTAGAAAAGTATCTGGCACTTGATAGTCATTAAAGAAAAATGCATGGAAGGAGCAAATAAAATATCTGCAGAGTGACTGCGTAGTGGAGTGCTCCAGAGGGCAGAACTAGATTTATGAAGAGACAGAAAGGAGGCAGAGGTAGGTTCCACATATGAATGACTTCCCAAATGAAGAGATTTTCCAACTTTGCCCTGCAGTCAAATCCCCGGCAGAGCTTGTTAAAAACAATTCCTGGACCCCAGACCTAATGAGGCAGAACCTCCACGGGTGGGTTACAGATCATTTGTTTCACGCCCAATTTCAAGAACCACCCTTCTAAACTCTCAGTCACCAAAATATTCAAGGAGAGACGGAAGGACTGAGTGTCAAGGATGTTTAGAGAAATGTTCATATTTGCACTGCAGACGAAGGCTGGGCTCAAAGATTCTGTAATTTTTAAAAAGATTTTACTTATTTATTTGACAGGTAGAGAGAGAGAGAGAGGGAGACAGAGAGAACAAGCAGGGGGAGCGGCAGAGGGAGAGGGAGAAGCAGGCTCCCCGCTGAGCAGGGAGCCCGATGCGGGGCTCGATCCCAGGACCCTGGGATCATGACCTGAGCCAAAGGCAGACACTTAACTGACTGACCCAGGAGCCCCAAAGATTCTGTAATTTTATCAGATCAATTTCAAGATTGATTAATGTGCTGTATTTTGTGCTATATACTTTAGAAAACGTTAACTTTACTTTCCATCAGGCTCTGCTCTGGTGTTGGAATGAATACCTCTTAAGAGTAATAGCAATACAGCTCTAAGGAATATCTCATTTGTCTAACATTTGTTTAACATTTAGCGCTTCTATGGAAGTCTCATTACACATAAGAATGTAAGTTGGACATTTCTGACTTAGTTTGGAAGTCACTATTATTTCATTTAATGCAGATAACGGCAATTGACTCTTAATTATGTTTAGAATCAATGAGAGGCCTTCTGAGGAAGCAACCTATGGGATAACCATAATTCCAAAAAGGGTCAAAGTCACGTTAATAATCTGCAACTAAAAACAACCCTAATTTAATATTCAGTATTAAACTGAATATTCTCTTTTCATAGAGAAGGCAGTATAACATGTATAACATAGATATTTTCACTATGAAATGAATAAATTGATTTCAGAAAAATGCAGGTTGTCTTTTTTTTTTTTTTAAAGATTTTATTTATTTATTTATTTGAGAGAGAGAATGAGAGAGAGAGCGAGCATGAGAGGGGGGAGGGTCAGAGGGAGAGGCAGACTCCCCGCTGAGCAGGGAGCCCGATGTGGGACTCGATCCCGGGACTCCAGGATCATGACCTGAGCCGAAGGCAGTCGCTTAACCAACTGAGCCACCCAGGCGCCCCAGGTTGTCTTTTAAGTAACGGCTTCTGTAGGTACGGAGAAAGTGAAATTGAATCCTGACAAAATGACAAAATGCAAACAAAACTGCCATGAGCAGGTGCACAGCACACAGCGCTTCTTTAGCAACCAAGCTCTCCCTCTTTGAGTCCATGTGCTTTGCCTGGTGGATGGAAAGAAATCAGTAGATTCATCTCTCCACTCTCTAGTTAGATATAATTACCCAGGTCAAATGTCTTTCAATTTACAAGTATCTATAAGGAAGGTTTTTCACTTTTGGGTTAGAAAGATAATTAAAACTGATTTTTTATTTACATTTCCCATTATGGCATAAACGTAAGGAAGTAATTGGAAAAGACTCTAGTGTTATTAGGAAAAACAGTTACTGTTCACAGAAGCCCGGTCTGAGCTGCGCTGAATTCTTTGAGTATCACATATTACGGCACTGTGTGAAAGCCACTGCTGATGGTATCAAAATGAATAATGATACTAGTATTAGTAGTTTCTATTTATTACATGCTTACTATGTGTCAGACGCTGTTTTAAGTGCTTTACGTGAACTGGCTTATTCAGCCCCCAGAACCTAATGAGGTAGGCACAATTCTTATTCCTACCTTATGGATTAGGAAACTGAGGCTCAGACAGATCCAGTTGCCCAAGGAGGCACAGTGGCTTACTTCGGATTTAAACTCAGGCAGAGCCCAAGCATCTAACCACAACATACCTCCTCTTTTATTGTACTTCTAAGAAAATACTTTAGAAATGTACACTTGTTAAGGAATTCAGATACATTTAAATAAAGGGTTTTTTTTTTTGAGGTTGTAAACCTTTATTAACTGAAACTTCAAAAGCCCTAAATGATTTTTTTTTCAGTATTTTTACGCTTTGTTGTCATTAAAGGTTTGTGTGTATATGTGTGTGTGTATCTTACTGTATTTGAAGGTACTGTTTTAATACTGCACTATGGATGAACATTGGCATACCAAAAATTGGCTGAACTCAGAAATTTGTGACGGAATCCGCAATAGCACTCTTGTTGTATAATCCTTAGTTTTAAGCATTTTGCCCAAACAGGTACAATATATAAAAACTTGAGGGGACACTCACCTGCATCACAATTTTCGGTCACAGTCGCTTTATAGAGATAGTGGCTGAAGGAAATCTTTACATCTTCTCCTTCCATGTGAACGACTAAGAGGCCAGCGGTCGTCCTAGCTGGAACCCCCTGGTCCCTAACTTTTAACTGCAGCCAGATTGGAAAATATTCAGAAGATGGGCGGTGCCGAAGTTGAACTTCTCCTGTATATTTATCAATAGAAAACATTGACTGGGTCTCTGCAAAACTAAAAATGACAGTTCCATTGGGTCCCAAGTCAGGGTCACTGGCTGTCAGAATGGCAGTTGTCTGGTTAATAGGCGACTGGGGAGAGAGAAAAATCTCCAAGGGGTTCTGTGCCCAAACTGGGTCATTGTCATTTACATCCGTGACATGTACTTCTATAATGACCGTGGTGCTTCTTGAGCCCTGGACACTACAGTCTCTGGCCACAGCCCTAAACCTATGCTGAGATCTGGCTTCTCGGTCCAGCGTGTGGCGGGTTCTCAATGTACCTGCCACGGCATCAATGGTGAATGCACCAGAAGCCTCATCCACCAGAAGATACTCAGTTTGTCCATTCAGACCTTCATCCTTATCCACAGCAGACAGCACGAGAACCACTGTTCCCACTTGAGCATCTTCTCTCACGGAGGCCCGGTAATGCAGCATGGGGAAGGACGGGCCATGGTCATTGTCATCCAAAACTCTAACCTGCAACTGCACTAGAGAGCTCCTCGGTGGATCCCCCAGATCAGAGCACAGGATGACTAGGGTAATATTGCTGACTTGCTCCCGGTCCAAAGCGCGAGTGGTTGAGAGTTCTCCTGATGTCTCATTAATAGCAAAGTATTCATCCGTATTTCCATCTGTTAAAGAAAACACATTCAAATTCAAAACTCATTGGAACTGAAGAAGTAGCAGCCCTTTGCTAGCTATATATACATATACATATGATTCATATATATGTATATGTGATATATATCAGTCATATATATGATGAGACATATATATATAGGATTCATTCATTCAACAAATATTTATTTCATGAATATTACATCCTAGCACTTTTGTAAGTGTTGAGGATATAACAGTGAACATGATAAAGTCCCTGCCCTCATGAAACCTCTATTATCAGGGGATAAACAGAATAATATAATTCAATATTTCTCTTAATTCAAATAATTAAAACACTTGCTTTGACTGATTTGCAGCAGTATGGATTTTTGTGTATGCATTTACAACTTTTTATATTTGTACATTTTTCCTCCTGAGATAATTAAAATGTATGTTTTATTTGAAATAAAACAATACCAGGCAGGGATAAGAAACAGGATATAACGTCCATTTTTAGATATCAATAAAAATTAACAGGTTGATAGTAGTATTGTGGATGCAGTGAGATTCTCTTCCACATTCCCATGTACCTTGTGCATGACTCATAACACTTCTCTAAGAGACAGGGGAACACTTGTCTGTTTCTTCCCTAACATAAGGAATGATGAGGTTTTAGTCTTCTCTGTATCCTCCAAAAAAAACCCTTCCCTTTACTCTTGCCCATGGTACCAAGCAGAATCAAAGTTAAACCTGAAGGCAGACACAAAAAACCTTCAAAGATATTTTAAAGTCATCCTAAAAATTAGGAAAAATACAGTTCAGTGACTTATTGGCCATATCTTGGATGAGGGGCATATTCTTGGATGAAGCACACTATTCCAAATAGAGTGGGATCGGGGTGCCTGGGTGGCTCAGTCAGTTAAGCGTCTGCCTTTGGCTCAGCTCATGATCCCAGTGTCCTGGGATCGAGCCCCAGCAGGGAGCCTGCTTCTCCCTCTCCCTCTGCTGCCCCCCCTGCTTGTACTCTCTCTCTCGCTAATAAATAAAATAAAATAAAATAAAATAAAATAAAATAAAATACTGAGTGGGAATTTACTGGAGTCTGCCAGCAGCATGTGGGGAAGAAGTAGAACAGCATTCAAGAAAACAACAGTCATAAGCAGTGTTGGGGGCTGAGGAGAAGGGACTTGCATTTGTATTTTGTTCATAAAACACAACTAATTTGAACCAAATATAGGGGTGATCAGACAAACCTACATTTCTGTGGCATTTGTCATTGATAAAATGATTCATTCACTCAGCAGACATTTAAGGAGAACCTGCCACATGCCAAGTATGTGCCGGATGCTGGGAATATGAAGGTAGTAAGGCATGATCCCAATCTCCAAGCATTTACAGTCCAGGAGGAATTTGGGTCAGTCCTGGGACATTAAAGTGTGGTGTGAAAATCATACGCACAGAATGCCCAGGAGCATAAAGGAAGGACACACAGTCCTGTGTTAAGATGGGCAGGAATGCTTATTAGAAAGAGTGACATCAAAACTGGTTCCTAAAGTGGAGGAAGCCAGGCTAAAAGTTTTGGAAAGTGTGTTCTAGGCAGAGGGGAGAGCCTGAGGGAAGTCTTAGGGATGTGAGGACTTAAAGGCTGCAAATGTTTTAGTGTAACTAGGACACGTGGTTCCCTGGGGTTTTGCGCGGAGAGGGCAGGGAGAGGGTTGGCAGCCGGGAAGACGTGAATTTAGAAGATAAGCAGGGGGTTAAATCATGAAGTGTCCTGTGTACACTGCTGAAGAGTCTGCCTTAACATCCTTAGGGAGCTCCTGAAGGATTTTAGAAGAGAGAGGGTCATGAATCACATTTCTGCTTTAGGAGGAGGGCTGAGCAGCAATGCCAAAGCTTGGTTAGAATACAGGAACGTTAGGAGGCTATTACAGTAATCTGCTTGAGCACCAGGGATGTTCTAAATGAAGACATGCATAGAGGAAGTGGACACATCCCAAAGATATTAAGGAGAAAAGTAAGAAGGAAGGGATGAAGGATTCATGATGGGGTTTGGTGAAAGAGTGAAGGGCGTTTAGACCAGTTGTGTTTAAAATGAGGTCCAAGTACCCCTGGGGCTATCTGAAGTTTTCTAAGGAGTATCTGGAAACTGGTAGTTTTAAGGTAATTTCCAGAAGCTCAGTTTACATATTCTTATTCCTAAAGTTGTTCTGCCTGAGAAATCACCTAAAATCATTGAGTTTGTCTTTTCCACATTCCTTTTTTTTAAAGATTTCATTTATTTGAGAGAGAGAGAGAGCATGAGAAGGGGGAGGAACAGAGGGAGAGGGAGAAGCAGGCTCCCTGCTGAGCAAGAAGCCGGATGTGGGAACTCAGTCCCAGGATCCTAGAATCATGACTTGAGGCGAAGGCAGACGCTTAACCGACTGAGCCACCCAGACACACCCTTCCTTAACATTGTTACCTTAGCATCCTCCCTAGTCTATCTCTGAAGTATGGTGCCTTGGCAGGTGGCTTTGCAGGTCCAGAGTGCTTCTGGAAAGATGTCTGAGTTTCTCAGTGTCTGAGAGGACAGGACTCCCAGCTGTGGGCCTGACCCCGCAGGTGCCCTTGGCTTGGGCAGGGCCCGTGGGACTGAGGGCAGGTAAGGAGCCTGGCTTGGCCTTGAATGAGAACCTTCCCCTGCCTGGGAAGTTGTTCAGATATATTTTTTAAAAAGTATTTTTTCATTCTATTTGATATTTTTTTTAAAGATTTATTTATTTATTTATTTGAGAGAGAGAATGAGATAGAGAGAGAGAGAACATAAGAGGGGGGAGAGTCAGAGGGAGAAGCAGACTCCCCGCTGAGCAGGAAGCCCGATGTGGGACTCGATCCTGGGACTCCAGGACCATGACCTGAGCCGAAGGCAGTCGCTCAACCAACTGAGCCACCCAGGCGCCCCTTCTATTTGATATCTTTAAAAGGTGACGTAGCCATTTATCTTAACGTGTCAATATTTATGATATTCCAAGAGACACTAGTTAAACTTCTAATAAAAATTTTTAGTCGATTACTTAAAAATATGTGTGTTGGTAATACATGGTTTTTCAAGATTCCACTAAGGGCAGGTTGAGCGAGGTCACCGACAGAGACTGTAGGAGAAGCCAGACTGTGATAGGGGACGGTGTGAAGGAGGTGGTGCTGAGTGCAGCTGGGGACACACTGGTAATGCAATGCTGTTGGGCACAACAACGGGGTCTCTGAGGTGAAACAATTTGAAATGGGAGGGAAAGATAAGTGGATGTGCCAGGGTGAAAAAAAAAAAGATTAGTGAATATCGGGTCTGGCCTTGCCATTTGAGTTGGCTTTTCTCTTCATGTGCTCCATCTATTTTATCACTCTGTAAATTGTTGAAAGCTGATAACAGTGATTCTTGTCCACAGAAATGCAAATTAATTATGTCTAGTGGAATGTCATTGGTTATTGTCCTGCAGCTAGACCTCGTCTGCATTTCAGAATTCCTTATTTCCTGTGTGTGTGTGTGCGTGCGTGAGTGTGTCCTGGAATTCTCCTTGGACCAATTTTAACATCTTTTTAGTTTGCTCATTAATCAATGACTTAATAAAATAAATAAAAAATCTTCAGCAGTTGTTAATTTTATATTTGTGTGAAAGTCATTATTTTACTTAAAAAAAATGTCCTTTAATGGGACTTAGATCTTCGGATGCAGATAAAGATAGGGAGATATAAGGGCGTCAGCGGTAGCTGAAGATGAGGACTGGATGAAATGACACAGTAAGAGTGTGTTCATGAGCAAAGTAAAAAAAATAAGCACAAAACACCCTGGAAATTCCAGTAAGTCAGAGGACCACCCACAGAACAAGGACATTGGAAAGGCTTGTCTAGAAAGGCAGAAGAAGGATCAGGAGAAAGTGACTTTCTGAAGTCAAGGTGGGACCATATGTCCAGGGCATGGTGCACAAAGGCACAAAGCAGTACAATTAAATTAAGAAATGACAGGGATCCACTGGATTTAGCAACAAGATCCTAAGTGTCTTTTTGCAAGGGCAGTTTCAGTGGAATACATATTGTAGCAGGCTAAGAAATGAAAGTAAGGCAAAGACACAGAAACCAGAGTGTACACAATGATTTTTTTTTCTTTTCTTTTTTAATTTTTTATTGTTATGTTAATCAGCATACATTACATCATTAGTTTTTGATGTAGTGTTCCATGATTCATTGTTTGTGCATAACACCCAGTGCTCCACGCAGAATGTGCCCTCTTTAATACCCATCACCAGGCTAACCCATCCCCCCACCCCCCTCCCCTCTAGAACCCTCAGTTTGTTTTTCAGAGTCCATCGTCTGTACACAATGATTTTTAAGAAGCTTGATTGTGAAGGAAAAGAGACAGTGAAGGGATGCATCTGAGGGAAGTCTTTTTTCAAGATGGCAAGGATTGGTAAATATTGATGGGTAAAACCAGCAGAAGGGGAAACTTTGACTGTATGGGAAAAAGAAGCGAATGAGCAAACCCTGATACAGTGAAAGGGGATGGGTGGCACTCTGGGGATTGTTTTTAATCGGTGCTTGACAAGATAAACACAGAATTTGAGAGTGAGCATTTAGAAAATCTTATACAGACTTGACAGAATAATTTTATGTCTGCATAATATAATAGATTAAAAAAAACCTGAGGCTTGCATTGTGTACACCTTTTTGTTTTCTTCCTCACAGTAATTCATATTTATTGTATTTTACAAGAGTTTCAGTGCACAACAGATTGAAAATTTAAAAAAAAATTCAAACCCTGGTCCTTAATCACAGATCATTTGGAAAGTTCTAGAAAATGAGTGGAGTTTACAAAGGAAAGTACCCAGTGCAACAGGTAGAAAAGAAGTAAAATTGGGCTTACTTACACAAGTTAGTTTGAAAGGGTGTCGTTCTTCTGGATGAAAGTATGACAATACACATAAACATTTAAAATATATATGCCCTTGGACATGATAACTCCACTTACACTTATCATAAGGAAATAATTGGGTAAGTGTTCAACTGCAACACTTTTATAATAGTAAGACTGCTATTATACTCAATATCTAAAAGACCATAAAAGGGGATGGATGAATTAAGTGATATTTTACATAAGCAGTAAGAAGAGACATCATTAGAAATGCTAACATATGTGTATATTTACTGATATGAAAGATTCACATAGTATATTAAAAAATGAGTTTAGGGAGGCCTGGGTGGCTCAGCCGGTTAAGTGGCTGTCTTCGGCTCAGGTCACGATCCCAGGGTCCTGGGATCGAGTCCCATACTGGGCTCCTTGATGAGCAGGGACCCTGCTTCTCCCTTTGCCTGCCACTTCCCCTGCTTGTGCTCACTCTCTCTCTCTGGTTAAAAAAATAAATAAATAAAAAATGAGTTTAAAAAATAAGTAACAAAGTAGCATATATAAAGTGTCCAATATATATAAAATTGATGTCTCCATTCACCAAGGTTCATGGAGAAGTGTTCTTCAAAATAATAAATGAGTTACCTCTGCAAGACATAAATTTTTGTGTTACTACTTTTGTTCTTCACAAATATGTACATATTCTATACCAATTATATATCACTTTTATAATCAGGCAAAAAGGCAATAAAGCTATTCTCATTTTAGAGTAATATTTCTCACAGAGAAAATGTCGGGTTCTAGAATTTTTAGCAAATAGAAAGTGATAGCTTTCAGAAGCTAGTCTACCCAAACTGTTTTTACAAGATCTAAAAGCACCTTCTCCCCATCAGATGCAGTCTCTGAAGCATTACTCTCTCCTCAACTCCAATCATTCTATGACATATACCAAAAATCACTTTTTCTTTTAGATGAATAAGAAGATGTGGCTCTCTCCATACAAATGCTAACATTATTTTGTCAGAAATTTTTATGCTTCTGATCCAAAGGGAGCCATATCACAAAATTATCTTCTGGGTAGAAGTTCCTACAGACTCTGATCAAGGGTGTGGTATGGTTGTAGTTCTTAAGTGTTATACTGGTGTTCAGATCTGGGAACTGTCTTATCTCTGTGTCCTCCAGGTTCCATTTAAGAAAAGACTGACAACAACTGCCTTAGGGTCAGGTCATGATCCCCAGGGTCCTGGGATGGAGTCCTAGGATTGGGCTCCCTTCTCTGCAGGAAGCCTGCTTCTCCCTCTGCCACTCCCCCTTCCTTGTGTTCCTGCTCTTGCTATTTCTCTCTCTGTCAAATAAATAAATAAAATCTTTAAAATAAAGTAAAATAAAATAAAATAAAATAAAATAGAATTCAGGGTGCCTGAGTGGCTAAGTCGGTTAAGCGTCTATCTTGGGTTCAGGTCATGATCCCAGGGTCCTGGGATGGAGTCCTGCATCGGGCTCCTTGCTCAGAGGGGAGCCTGCTTCTCCCTCTCCCTCTGCCTGCTATTCCACCTGCTTGTGCTCTCTCTCTCTCTGTCAAATAAATAAATAAAATCTTTTAAAAAAAAGAAAAGAGGGCGCCTGGGTGGCTCAGGGGTTAAGCGTCTGCCTTCTGCTCAGGTCATGGTCCCAGGGTCCTGGGATTGAGCCCCGCCTCGGGCTCTCTGCTTGGTGGGAAGCCTGCTTCTCCCTCTCCCACTCCCCCTGCTTGTGTTCCCTCTCTTGTTGTGTCTCTCTCTGTCAAGTAAATAAAATCTTAAAAAAAAAAAAAAAGAAAAGACTGGCAAAAGTCTTGTTGGCTCAAAATAATAAGAATATTAGTGTTCATATAAAAGACACAAAAGTAGAAAAAAGTTATATATTCCATCTACACACCCACTAATATTACCACAAAAAATTCACAATAGTTGCAGAGGGGAGATTTAAGAATTTGGAAGCCAGTGGCTCAGGCTGTCTGTGGAAAGGACACACATGGCATCAAATAGCTTTTACTGAGCATGTATTCTGTAGATCCTGTAATAGACACCAAATACAGAATAATCACCAGTGTGTCAACTCAGTCAGTGTCCTGAGGAGAATTTTAGTGGAGAAAATACTTACCAATTACATGATACCTGACAGCTCCATTATTGCCAGAATCCATATCAGAAGCCAAAACAGTGTAGACAACCCCTGGCTCTTGGTTTTCCAGAACCTCAATGTCATGACCGGGGACAATAATCTCTGGTGCATGATCGTTCTCATCTTCTACAGTACAGAGAATTGTTGTGGTGCCAGATAATGAAGGGACTCCTCCATCTCGTACGAGTACTGATGTGAAATAAAAGATGGCATAGATTGTGGCCAGAAATTCATGCCTAAAATATACCGCCACAACTAGACTGCTGCATCAGACCAAACTAACTGGGTAGCACTGGGTCAATAACAGTTTACTAAAGACATTCTACAGAAATGTAAAATTTCACCACTAACCTCCTGCTGCCTACTTTTGATTGTACCATAGTCAGGCATCCCTTACCTCGAAGGGTGAAAACTTCCCTAACTTCTCTGTCGAGTATGGTGGTCGTCACTACCTCTCCAGTGTCAGGATTTATCTTGAAGAATCCAGATGAAGCCCCTGGCATGATTTCAAATTGAAACTTGGAATTGATTCCTTAAGAAAAATATAAAGAAAAACTTACTAATTATCCCTTTGGAAACCATTTGTCTGTTTTCCTATGAACATGTTAGGCCAGAGATGAGAAAGGCAAGACGTTTAAACAACCTTCAAATTAAGGTAAAACACACACACACACACACACACCTCTTTTGGCTATTCTTGCTAAATAAAAGCCTCATGGGCTGAAATGCTTGATTTTCAAAAGTCTTAGGAGACTTCCCCACAGTGAATGCTTAAGATTTTTTCCCTCCCATAAAAAATTTCTTAAGAGTGTGCAACCCTACAATATATTCCTAATTACTCCTTCTAACACCCCTGATTGTGATTTAATGACATAATTGTAAGCTTACGGGGCAAATGACAATTTCTGTAGATCGACTCCCTACTCAAAAGCTTGTGCTCAGTTATGGTATTCTGTTTATTCTCCAGCGCAGTAGGCAAGCACATAGACTTGCTATATGCATATTTTTGCTTTATTTTCTACTTAGTATTCAGGCTCCTATCTGGAGTGAGAAATGTGGTACCACATTAGCATGCATTTTGAAAACAACGCTTCCCATTTTTTTGTGGTTTCATTTCCTCCCTGAGAAAAGCATCATGTCATTTCCATCATTGATTACGAAGATCATTCATACCATTAACTTAAATGAGTTTATCCCGTGCCGTTGTAGCTTATTTGCACTTTATACAAATGCCTTCCAATTATTTTCCTATCTCCTTTTTTAACTGACAAGAATCTACGAATAGACATAGTACTTAGAATATACGATTTTATACTTCAATAGAAAATGAAGTATTATTTTTTGGCCTTAACAACAACAAAACTTCAATTACAAATTCCATCTTGCCAGTCTTAAAAATTTTCACTCCACTATTTAATGGATATAATATAGGACTGAGTGCTTGAGGGAGTGGAGTATAAGTCTAGTTTTATGTAAGAATAAATACAAATGTCTTCTTACTATGTCCTTGAAAGAGAAAGGATGCTAAACATAGTCTGCAGATGTTTTAAGGACCTTAAGAGAAAAAAATCTAATAAGATACAATCAATATATTTGATAGGGTGTGGTCAGAGGTCACCAAAAACTTACTGTTCTGTCAGTAGACATTAGGCATATTATTCCATTAGTGATTATTTAATAATTAAAGTGATTACTTTGGTCTCATAATGATCACATACTCTCTTCTATAGCCAAGACAAAAATTCTAAAAATTCCAGGTTAAATTTGTTATTCTTGTTTATCTCTTTGTATAGTAGGAAAATGGGAACAATACCATCTTACATCTATTTTCCTGTTCCTCAACTATTTGGTGAGCAAAATTAGATGTCAAGCACAGAGCTATTTGCCCAAGAGACAGTGGTGAATCAAATGGGTATGACCTCAGCCTTCAGGGAGCTTACACAGAGAATAGCACCTTTTCATTATGGACCCTTTATTTTTGAAATCAACTCATTCATTTATTATATGATTTCATCATATATTACACATTATGTTATATTTTATATATTACATTATGTATTTTAATATTTATTTAAAATATTTAATATTTTAATTCCCAATACCTGTCAAACCTAGAAAATATTTAAAAATAACTCAAATCTTTGTTTTTCCTTCCTCCCATTGTTCCCATTATTCTGTAATGTGCTTTACCCTTCTCTTCAATATGTTCCTGACTTTTTAGAAACTTTCATATTTTATTATTTCCATTATGCTATATAGCTTTTATCTCTGAGATAACAAGCCACTCACCTTCAATCTCCCTAGTATCTTAAGAACAAATAAGATTCTTAATTACACCATAGTTTGCATGCATACATTTTTTACATACATTTTCACACTCCAAACTTTACACCCTTCATAATTTAAATTATGTGAAATAACTTTAAAATATTTTACAATGGCTCTTTTAGAATTTAATTAGTGCCTGGCTTCCTTCTCACAACCTATAATCATCCAGGACAAACATAGCATCATCAGACATGAGAACCAAGAAAATAAAAATAAAATAGAGATTATTTAGTCTAATTTCATCACCTTCCTAAGCACAGTGGAAATTGGAATCTGAAAATATTCAGTGATATGACACACCCAGTGAAGGGGGAGTGTGTGTATGGACACATATATATATATATTGCTCTTAGACCTCAAGACCTACAGCATATGACCTCTTAATTTTTCCTTCTTTTAGGCACCCTTCTCAATTCAATTCTGTCCCTTTCCAGTCCATCCTCATGAATGATCACTTTTGCAACTGTGCAACTTTCCTCAGTCCTGTGGCTTTGTGCCAAAGATGCCCAGCAAAGCCTCAATCCAGCATCATTCCAACCATCTCTCTGCCTCCTGGGATATCCAGCAGATAACTGGGGCTGCAGAAAATGTCACAACAGCATAGACTGGCGCCACGGAAATGTCATTGTCATCCAGCAGTCTTTCCAGCTTTCCTGTGTCATCTCTCTCCCACTCATGTCTCTCCCACCCAGCACGTCCTGGCTCATTCTTTTTTTTTTTTTTTTTCCCTTCGTTCCAGGTTTAATGGTCTGTAAAGCATGTGCGATCGAGGTCAGAGATAGGGAGGCCCTGCCAGGCTCTCCCTCTGCACCTCAATAGAAACGATGCGGTGGCCAGGTACCATGGCCAGGCCCAGTACACAGGGTTCCCCAGCCCAGAAGGAATCCGACGGCTTAAGGAACTCCTGTGCCGAGCCCTTCCTGGCTCATTCTTATAGATCGCTTTCCTTCCTATTTTCTGGAGAAAATGAAGGCATGGAAAGCATTCTCTCAACTTGTGTCTACATTCAGCTCTAACTCCTGGTTTCTGTTTTGGTGGCCAAAGTAATTCTTCAAGTGCTTCCTCTTGGACTTTTCTTATTACTTATAGCCTTTTTTAAAATTAATTTTTCCCTTAAATTATATTCTTCTCTAGCTATAGGAATCAAATTTTTTCCTTCTCTTTATAACCAAGTTTCTTTTAAAAATTCTATCCCTTCTTTGCAGCCAGCTTGAAATTGTCATACCTAGCTACTCTTTCTACAGTCACCTTCTGTTTACAGAACATACTGGTCATCTTTGTTTTTATCTGATTTGTCTTCTCTGTGGCTTCAGATATTGCTCACTGATGTTTAAAAAGATGGAAAGGAAGGAACAAAGGGACAGAGGTAGGAAGGAGAGAGAAAAGAAAGGAGAGAAGCAGGGGAGGAATTCATTCTACTACCTCCTCTTCAATTCACTGTTTTCAGTTTCTATCCACTTGCAGATAACACCCATGTGTCTGCATTGAGCTCCAATTATTTGGTTGCTTCATTCATTCATGTGTTCATTCGTTCATGTGTTCATTCCTGCAATGCACATATATTGAGTGCCAGGCACTGGAAAGATACTCTCAAGTAATAACTAATTATCTTGGTCCTCAAAGTTCCCCTTTAGTGTGGAGACAATTAAATCAATGAATTACAGACAGTGTGATAGAATATGTGAAATCACTGAGGAAGTGGACCAGGGAAGACTCGCCCCAGGTAAATGGTCTGTTCATTGATTACCTTGTTAAATAAACATATAGAGAGAGTGAGAGCAGGTGCCAAGGTACTATGCCAGGTGCTAAGAATGTAACTGTTAGCAGGAAGACAAATTCTCCACCCTCACGGTGCTTGCAGTATAGCGCTGCACACGGAGAAGTAAGCGGGCCATTACGATTCCATATGAGACATCACTGGGAAACTATGGTTGCCTTCTGTATAAGCTGAGCCTCTAAAGATGAATAGGACTTAACAAGTACGAAAGAAGAAAGAAGGTTTGAATGCATTAAAAGTAAAATGCAGGGGCACCTGGGTGGCTCAGTCAGTTAAGCGTCTGGCCTTCGGCTCAGGTCATGATCCCAGGGTCCTGGGATCGAGTCCCGCATTGGGCTCCCTGCTCAGTGGGGAGTCTGCTTCTCCCCCTGCCTGTTGTGCCTTCTCTCCCTCTCCCTGTCAAGTAAACAAATAAAATCTTTTTTAAAAAAAGTAAAATCCAAACACCTTAGCACAGTCTACAAAGTCCCGTATGATATGGGCTCTGGTGATTCCCCAACCTCTTCTCACACCCTTGCTCGCTCGCTATGCTCCCCGTCCATCTGCTGGCTTCGCTTCTGTTCTTTGAATGGGCTACATTTCTTTCTGTCGGGGTCTGAGTGGTTGCTGTGTCCTCTGGCTGCTCCTCCCTCAGTTCTTTCCATGGCATCCTAGTTATGCCACTATTGGTCTCGGATCTAAATCTATTCTGCTCTGCTCTGTCCTGTGATGCTGGGGCCAAGGATCAGCAAGCCACATTTCTCTCTCGCCAACTCCTCTCTCCTTGGGTCTGCTGCAAAGGACACAGGGGAGAGTGAAAGTCAGAGGAGAGGAGATGGGAGCCCTTCTGTTTGCTTACTGTCCCTGTCAGCACTGTCATTGCACCTGCGGCAGCACGCTCATGGCAAACTTGACCTCTTCCATTTCCCAGTATTTGGGGTGGTAGCTGTTCCTACGGTGATTTTTCCTGGGTTACTTCTGGATTCCCTTTTTGCTTACTCAGCCTTCCAACACCTGTATTATAATCTCTGGTTTTCCTGACCACACCTGACTGATGGAGTATTTAGCAGCAGGAGTGGGTCTCAGGTATCAGAGATTCTGGGTTTGGTTATGTCTTGGCCTTGCATGCTGTGCTGAGTTCTCTGACCACGGGAAATGGAATACCAGTAATCGATGACTGGCAGTGATATCATAATTAATTAAGTTATCACCTGTGTTTGACTGTGAGGGAGTCACCATCAAAGGACTCAAGTTCCATAGAGGACCAAAAGACTCTGGCCGTAGGGGAGTAAAAAGGGATTGTGATGAGTGATGGCTGCTTCTGGATATACTAGGAACTTGCAGAAAGAAAACTACAAGCTGAAGCTGAAGCTTGCAGGTCAGTCATAGTTAATAACCAGAAAGCTTCTATATGAGCCTGAAAATTAATCTTCCTGAAGATCAGACCC